TGCTGCGTTATAAAACACAAATATCTTCTGTAAATAAAAATGGCGATTCTTATTTTCAAGTGTTTGATATACCAATGAAAACATAGCTATGAATATTGCCTTTAATTCATAGTGACAGCTGAATTGAAAGACAAACAGAGAAAAGAGGAATTTACAGAGGGAAAAAAAGAGGAACAGAGCGTTAGTGGTTGATAGATTGCTCTTCAGAACAAAGTTAGAGATCAGAGCACACAGACCTGAGCTCCTTAAACTCTGACTGTTGGACACTACTGTTTCTCAAGCTATGTCCACACAAAGGTAATGTACTTTTTCTTCTCCCTTACAATATATTTACATTGTGCATCTAAAAAGTTTGTTCAAAATGTTCATCATTGCTATAAATGTGCAGCTTTTTGTTTCATTCATTATGTTTAATTTATTTAATTGATTTTGGTGTTTCAGCACAATCGTAGCTTTTCTGATTGGGACCATAGCCATCGTGTCCCTGATGAAATCTGACTGTCTGGTTTTGAAGGAAGATGAAAAGGGAATTAAACTGTGTGTCACATCGAGGCGAGGAATGAAAGACCTCTCACATAAAAGTCTGACAGAAGTTCCCTCAAATCTTCCCAATGAGACGCAGTATTTGGATATTTCTTATAACTCCATCCAAAGACTGACTGGAGCTCCTTTTTCCAGACTGTCACAGCTCTGTTTCTTAAAAGTAACTCACTGTGGCCTGCAGGAGATTTCTCCCAGTGTGTTCAGTCACACACCAGCTCTCAAGGTTCTCAATATGTCTTACAATGACTTACCTATCATCCCTGACATCTCACTGAAACATCTGAAAATCCTTGATTTGGCAAACAATCTGTATAATAGCTATCGAATTCCAGCGTCATTTCAAAACCTGACGAATCTGCATGTGCTGTCATTAGGTAGTAGAGCTGCTCTGTCAGTCAACTACAATGACTTTGATCCACTGATGATGACTTCTCTGCATCATCTGGATTTGGGAGCAGGAATTAACTGGCAAAAGTATGATTCTGGTGCTCTTGCAAAATTTAAGTCCCTCCAAAGGATTTCCCTTTTTGCATCTTTTTGCAGGGATTTCGGTATGTTTGAGAACGTCCTTGTGGACTTGAATGTGACAGGGGCAACATCGTTGAGATTCATCACTGTCTTTCCAGACAACTGCAATGTCAGCGGCAACCCTTTTAAGAGCCTGACAACGATGCCATTTATACAGAATCTCACCATAGAGAACATGTGGATTAACAGCTCATTTATGGAAGCATTTCTAAAGAACGTGTGGCTCTCCTCCCTTTATGACCTTTCATTTGTCAACATCACATATAATGAAGATACACTGGACGGGTTTCAGTTTCGCACCATTAATCACACAATCAATCTTTGCTCAATTTCCTTCAACGGTGTGAATCATTATCAATACAAATACCCCACAATCAACATGAGCTTCGAGGCCATTTCAAATCTGAACTATTTAAAGTTCTCTGGTACCGGAATGAACATTTTACCCTGCAATGCCATATCAGCTCTGCCGTCACTGGAGACACTAGATCTGTCAGATAACCTCTTAACGGATTCTGGCTTCTGGTGGTTTCAGTGTTCGTACACCTCTGTCTTCCCTAAACTGAGGCAACTGTCTTTGAGCAAGAACCGCTTCATCAGTCTTTCATTTATCTCTGAGAAGACGTATCAGATGAAGACATTAGAGTCCCTGGACCTCAGCTTCAACTCCATCTCCTTGGATGGGAACTGCTCTTGGCCTGCTCATCTGACTGACCTCAGCTTGGGAAATAACAACCTGGGCAACAGTGTCTTTCAGTACCTGTCACCAAACTTTGAGAGGATCGACTTGTCAAAGACGGGAATAACAGCCATAACACAAGAGGATCTGTCTCAGTTCCCCAAGCTGACACACCTCAAACTCAGCTCCAACAGCATCCAGGTTATCCCTACAGATCTCATGGCCCCAGCTCTACTCAGTCTCCAGGTAGACCAGAACACTATTTCATCTATATCCAAGGAGGTCTTGGCAGGACTTCCCAGGCTTCAGACCCTCAAAGCTGGAAGCAATCCATTTGTCTGCTCATGTGAGTCCCATTGGTTCGTCACTAATCTCAACAAGTCTTTGCTCCCGGACTGGCCCTTAGATTATACATGCAGCACCCCGCCATCGTTTGCAGGCCTGTCACTCTCAGAGTACAAAACCAGTGAGCTGTCATGTGAGACGTGGCTTCAAGCTACAGTCGCTTTGCCTGTAGTAGTAGTTATATCTGCAGCCATAGGTCTGGTTTTCTATAAATGTGACGGAGTGTGGTATACAAAAATGTTATGGGTGTGGATCAGGGTGAAGAGGAGAGGCAAAAAACACTCCAACATGTTGAATAATGCATCGTATAGTTATCATGCATTCATCTCCTACAGTCATCAGGATGCTGGTTGGGTGGACAGCCAGCTGGTGCCCTCTATGGAAGATTCCGGGTTTTCTCTATGTGTTCACGAGCGAGACTTTGTCCCTGGTGACTGGATCATAGACAACATCATCAAGTGTATGGAGTCCAGCTACAAGACACTGTTTGTCCTCTCCAAACATTTTGTCCAGAGTGAATGGTGCAACTATGAGCTCTTCTTTGCCCAGCACAGAGCCATCAGTGACCAGCAAGACTCTTTAGTCTTCATATTACTAGAGCCCATTCCAGCTGAGTCTCTGCCCAAGAGGTTCTTGAGACTTAGGAGTTTACTGAGGCAGCAGACGTACCTTGAGTGGCCGAAGGATGAACGGAAGCAGCAGGTTTTCTGGACAAGTCTTAAATCCATGCTGCATATGGCAGATAAATCTATGGTTCTAAAAGATGTGGCTTTGGCCATTTCAGATACAGTACCTCTGTTTACAGACCAAGTATGAGAGTTTCTCTAAAAGTTGATCAAAAAACAATACCAGTATTTCTTTGCTAAGTTTTGGCACAGATCTAAGAATTTGGTACTAAAAAGACTTTGGAAGATACTACCATGATTTGTTTAACTCAAAGCATCGTCATACCTTCATATGAACTCTTTGTGGTCAGTATGAAATATTTACAACAACTTGTAATGCTTTCAGTGTACATACACACATATTATTGTATTGAGTATTGTATTAACATTGACACTGCAGGTTCTGCAAATACAGATTGTGAGTTGTAAATAGTGATCAGTCACAATGACAATCCTTTAACAAAACGGTAAAACCAGTAACGACTTAACATATAACGACCTAAGTTTCACTACCAATACCAAAATAAAATGTTTTCAATGCCTCGCTTTACATATTTCAACAAAACCTTTTTTTACAAGAGAAGTTAATTCGTTTATAAGTAATGTGTTTAAACCCAAGCACAAACCTTGTCTTTTTTTTGCAACTTTTTTAATCAGAATAATAAGTAAATAAGATTATAAATCAGACCCTATATTTGATGCCAACTTTTGAGTTTTAAAAACTACATTAGAAACACATTAACATTCAAAATTAATCCCTGATTTTTACTATTCAAAATATATTCATGATAGTTACATTCTATTGTGATAACCCTGTCTCTTGTACTGGTGTTGTAAATCAGTGGTGATTAGCTTTGGTCGAAGCTGTTTCATCATCAGTTAAGTTGCTTTGGTTGACTGACAGCTGTTTCCTGAAATCTACTGCAGATTGTACTTCTCCTAATACACACTGGAACAGACTGGAGCATTGCATGACGCAAAAATTACATAAAGTTTTTTAGTATTCACAGCTGCAATGTTCAATTCAATAAATAACTCAACTGATAATTCAAGATATTTATAAAGACACTTTAACTAGTCAGATGTTTACTGAACAAGATCTGCCTGGACAAACACCTGTTATGATATTGACAACTTCTCTTTAGATATTTGATAAAAGAAAAATATATATTCTAAGCAGTAACTCAAATTCAAGATACCTCCCCATTAATTCATGAGTCAGTGTAAGATTTCCCACCGTAGTGTGATATGTCAGTTTAAAGTTAAAATGGTTTGGCATTGAGCTTAAACAGAAAAAAACAGCTGTTTGCTGTAAACACAATGATAACACAATACTTTTCTGATGTTATAAATATTAAAATATGATTAGAGATATTTAGATTTCAAATATAATGCAGCATGCCTTTTCCCAGTAGAGAGATGTATAATTTGTGCTGTTTTATGGTCTTTTGTAGAGCTTCTTTTTTTAATGTAAGGAAATGTCGCCATCTACTGTTTGTAATGACACTCACCACACACCAATGTGAAGGAATTAATTAGACTGAGATTTTTCTTTTCTATTTTTCATTATGCAATCGCTTAAAATGAAAGTCCATGATAAATGTATCATTTCAATGTCTATGTAAATGTGGTTCCATATCACTGTATGCCAGTGTACTGGGTCCCCAAATTCTTAATTTTAATATACCATGTAGGCTTATACTATGGTACCGCTTTGTATATGGAACTCTTATAACTAATGTTTGCTTAAATGTTAATAAACCATTTATTCATACTTTTTTAGATCTATCATAAGTCCATTTTAAGAACAACTGTTGTTTTCCCAGGTTGTAAAAAACTAAACACCCTTGGATGGTGTTTGTCAAAAAGATAAATAAATAAATAAATAAATAAATAATTTTTATTTTTTTTATTTTTTGCAAACTCACGACCCAAAAGCTTTTCCGTAAAGCAGTAATACATTATTGATTCATAAAGACATTAGGGGTGGATCTAGAAAAAATATTCATGAGGTGGTCAGAGAGTGGCATGAATTCTTTAAGGGGTGACAGAAATACATGCTAATTTAAAGCTGCAGTAGGTGATTTTTACAAAAATATTTTTCTCAAATTTGCTGAAACTTTCACTATATCTTGACAGTAGTACATATATTTGCTTGGAAAAGCCACCAAATGAAGACATTTGAACTAAAAAAAACACAACAATAGTATGGCATTGAGTGGTCGAAAGACTAGAAAGGCTTTATAAGTACAGTCCATTTACCATTTAAATGAACGTATCTGGTTTTACAGTAATCTCCCATGCCTCTAGATGGCCATGATTAGTTACAACTTATAAATTATATTATAATTTTTTTATTATTGTTGATTTTCATTTTTTATTGTCCTAGTCCTCACAGTTTAATTTCTTGCAAAAGCATAGATTTTTTTTTTGCAATGCTGACGTTCGACAGTAGATATACTGTCAATGGTGTAACTTGGATTCGTTAGCAGAAACTACAATTCCCATCATTCCATGTGTGTAACAGAAATTTGCGCCGACTCACTGAGTTGTGTAGTTGCCCCTGTTCTCTCCTCCTTTAATGTAAGATGGTGGTTTGTGGTGTAAGTAGGTAGCAGCACCTTTATAAGCTTATAGAAAAGGCCGGTGCCTTCCTAAAGACAACGGCCCCACATACAGCAGCGTTCTGTACCGGAGCTTCTGTCCCACACAGGCAGACCTCTCCCTCTACATCCTGGAGAGGAACCTCCAGTAACACATAGGCAGGGTGAGTATCCACACTAACAGTTACCCTTATGAAACCAACGCCATAAACTGGGCTATCTACTGAATCATCATTTTCACTGGAAGACATGAGTGACATAGTTCAGCCAGCCCTGTCTGTCAGGGGCGCTGCTCCGGGAAGAGAGCCGAGGCAGCCCTCATTCACGCTGGGGTCGCTGTTTCGGTTATGTCGGGCTCTGCCGGCGGAGGGCAGGCCGCGTAAACTCCTTCCTGACAGACTTTTGTACGCAACATAACTTATAAACAATAAAGCAGTGTGCGAGGGAGCGGCAGTGTCTTTTGGTAACTTTGGTGGGGGGGTTGTCACACAGTGAGCGCCGTTTTCAGGCTACAGCAGCCCTGTCTGCCCTTAGCCTACGTCATACAAGACAGACAGTAGCTAGCAGCATTCCAGGCAGCCAGCCAAGCCGGTTAGCATAGCTGGTTAGCATAGCTTAGCTTAGCCCGGCAGCGCCCCGCTGAAGTGTCACTTCAGTAGGTACACGACTTTCAACAAAGCTGCCGGTTCTAAGCCTCAAGCAACACTGCTTGTATTTATGTACTTATTAATAGGAATGTGAAAGTTCGATAAGTGCATTAACCAAGATGGCACTAAACACTGCTAACAAACTTTGCATATTAACCCATAACTTGTTTGGCGCAGTTAGTTTGTACGCTGATCATATGATGAATAATTAAGCATATAGTTGTGTTCATCTTTCGAGCTCGCAAGAAAAGAAAGCAACCCGAAAATGCCGTGGGGCAGGTGACATGATATGAAGTCAGTAATTATTGGAGTAACCTAAACAAACAGCACTGCTTGTGGAAGTGGTCAGCCTGATTTCTCGGTGAGAGCTGGTTGTCTGTAGCTCTGTGCTGAGACTGGACTCATCCTCCTCAACAGTTCTTCTAGCTGTCTACAAGCCAGCCTCAGAGGCAGACAGTGGCTGCTCACCATGTTTTCTTGTCATGTGCAGTTTTTATGGCCTTGATTATTGCAATTTGCATTCAGAAATCAGAATCAGAATCAGAAACAGGTTTACTGGCAAGATTCACACATAGGTCTGCACAATTAATCGCAATATTAATAAAATAATAAATATACATGAAAACGGGAGCGCCCGGTAAGCTCAGTGACTCATAGCCATGCACTGAGGCTGAGTGCCTGCTGCAGCGGCCCAGGGTTCGAATCCGACCTCTCTGCCCCCCTTTCCTGTCTGTCTTCAGCTGTCACTATAATAAAGGCAATAAAAGCCCCAAACAATACATATATATATATACTATATATCTATATACTAGGTATATATTATAATTTATATATTATATTTATATTTATATATTATATTTATATTTATATTATAAATTTATATTTAGTATAAGTATGATAGTATAATGAAAACAATTTGCAAGTCAAATTTTTAAATGAAGCCATTAATATATGAAAAATATTGTAAAAGCAGTAAGACTGTCTGTGCCCCTTCTCTCAATATATGAAAACCAGATGCATTGGGCCTTGTGGTGCTCAAAGTGCCAAAAATGCATTTGAGCTCAACAGCAATGTCTCTTTCCAGATAATCCACAATTTGATGTCGGAACTGTTTTCTTTCTTTATCAAATCACTTACTGATTCCTGATCAGTTTTCTGTGTGGAAAAGTAGGCCTACACAGGTTGTCAGCATTAGCAATGATGTTTTATAGCAAATAGAAAAAGTCATGCATGTGACTCAGGTGCACATAAGCTCCACTGTTTAACTGCGGTTTGATTTGGAACCAGTTCTCAGCTACATGAGATGAAGAAGATGATGCTGGTGTTTCCACCCTTACTTGAAATGGTCACTTTACAGACATTATAACAAGCACAGTTATCACCTTTGGACCGTTTCTTGCTCTCCACCATGACTCCTTCTGGTTGCAAGTTTCCAGCAGCATAGACACATGAGTGTGACATCCTTTTGCCATATGCACGTGACAAAAATATGCCGGCATCAATAAAAGGAATTGATAAGCTCAGAGGTATATGGTTCAAATGGGTCGGACAATTTGGAACCAGTTCTCGATCTCCATCCCTAGATAAACAAGCTGTACGCTGCTTTCCCAGCAGATAGTAAACGTTAGAGACCAGTTTTAGCCTTTTTAAATTCAGGCCAAGTTCTTTCCTGTACAACTGCTTACTGTAAGTTATTAATGGAACTTTTCTTTGACACACTCTTGTGGCATTGCTTCCTGCTCTTGATCAGTATGAGTGTTCATGTTTCTTTCTGAGCATGCGGACAAGGCATTGCAGTTAATCATTAATGAGTATAAGTCAGAGTGTGCTTTATTTGTGTCAGTGTTGTTCTGCATGTGTTGCCTTGTGTGATGTCTCCAGCCTTCCCCTCAACAGAGCGTGTGTGGGGAAAGTATGGCAATGTTGTTTCAGGTAACTGACACACTGTAAATAGATTTATTTCAGCCCCTTCCTTTTTCTCTTAATGAGGTATGTTCATCTTGTGAGTCACTACAGTAAAAAGGTTAATGTGAACGTACATGTAGGCCGCCGACGTGGGGACGAAGCTCTTCTGTCCCACACAGGAGGGGAAATTCAGTTTAAGCAGATCAGAACCGGCCAGGAAGGCAGAGTAAGTGAGGAGCTTTTAGTGTTACCACACTACATTTTACCCTTCTACTAAAAGCCTTTTTGCACATGACTGATATTTCTGATAGATAGACTCGTAGTGATTGGGACTAGGAACCTAGTGTGTTTCCACCACAGCTACCTCGGCCTACATTAGGTTTTGGGAACATTATTTTATCCCCCCAAAGGTCCCTGCTCAAGGGCTAGTGCTTTTCTTACATATAGGATATTTGGGGGTGGGTTACTTTGTTTTTGGTTCATTGTGTTTAGACGCACCAGGGGAAAGCATATGACAGACAGACCAACAATGTATGATGTTGTGCAGGTTGAAGCAACCTTCAGTTCCTACGACTAAAAGTTGTGGGAACGTGGTTACACACAGACAATGGTGGCTGTCCTGTCAGACTGTTGGTGCCAGGTGATTTCAGCAGATGGTGGTGTGCGGATGGTGTGTGCTGAGCTAAAGGTCCCTGCATTAACAGGTGGCTGACAGGATACCACAGAGAACTTGATTAGAAGAGCGGGTTTCCAGAGGTGGACAGTAATGAAGTAGAAGGACTTTGTTAGTGTACTTAAGTACTTTTTTCAGGCATCTGTACTTTCTTTACAACTTTTTACTTTTCTTCCTTACATTGACAGTAGAACATGAGACGGATAATCTGTGAAAAAAACAGCTTCCTCTGGCTCCTCCTAGTGCTCCTAATGGGATTTGCACCAGTCCACCAGGCCTGAATGAAAACAACCAATCAGAGCAGAGAAAGATGGAAAGATGCTTTGGGTTGGAGGCATGAAGATAGCTGATTGTTGAGTCTCATTCCCAGGTCACCAAATACCGACCTCTTTCTCGGCTCTGATTGTTTTGTTTTTTTGTTCAGGCCCGGTCTGATACTGATAGGATAACCAATTCATCTTAATAAAAATATGGAGACGACAATAACTACTGTTTATATTTTTACATTGACAGGTTTATAATACTAATCCAATATTTAGAGAGCCTTCATCAGCCCTTCAATAAAGAATACATTACTTTGTTGTGACTTGTTTTAATAGCCTTAGTTTGTTTTTTATTATATGTGGAGACTAAAAGATGCAAAATGCACATTTGCTGGTTAATCAAAAGTCAAAACTGTAAAAGTGAAATGAAATAAACAAATTATAATAATAAAATAATTGCATAATAAAATCAGGCTTAACAAGCATAAAATATATGCTAGTTTAGGTTATTATCAGTGCCATTATTGTGTTATTGTCAGTTATGTTGAAGAGCTCCTTTCAGCTGAGGTGAGGTCACGCAGTCATGTATGTTTTTCCTTCAGATGTACCATATTTTTTCACACACTTAAACCACAGCAGAGTAATGCCTCCACATGCACTCATACAGACACTGTTTAAATCAGCGGAGTCATGTGACCAACAATTTCAGTTTTTTTTTTAAAGTTTCTGGCAGTTTCACAGTACATCACACTATTTTTTTATTTTTTTAATGACTGAGTCTTATATAGGTTTATGGTAGCACATTGTACTGTCAGGAGTACATATAATATAAAAACATTGTAATGTCATCCAGGGGCAGATCTAGAGAAATAATCATGGGGTGTCCAGAGGGCGGATGGAGCCTTTAAGGAGTGGCAGAAATACCTAATCACAATCACATATATCAATATTATCATCAAATGAAGATATTTGAACTCAAAGACATTATTGTGGCACATTAGTAAAGCATTGAATAGAAATATCTAAAGCCAGCATTTGAAATCAATACATTGTATTTCCAAATACATGTCTTTGTTTTCAATTTCAATTCAATGAAATTTTATTTGTATAGCGCCAATTCACTTTTCATTGAACGTATCACTTACAGATATGATAGATCCTTAAATTATAGGTATTAATTAACATTTTTAAAACTGTATATTGAAAATGAATCTACATTAACGTATGAAATTTGTATTTGACATCAAACTGCGGTGGCGAGGCATTTTTTCATGGTGGCTGCTGCTACCCCATGACACCCCTGTAGACCCACCCCTGATGTCATCTTGATATACTGACGGCTTTGATTACTATAGCCTCTGCCTTAAAATATGAGAGAGAGGCCAACAACTCTAACATTCACAAGTATTTATTCAGATAAATGTTTCTCAAATGTTCTACTGCTCAAGCAAGAAACATATTGTTGTGCCATGGTGTTTTGCCCAGTTAGAGAGAGTTAACATTGGGTTATTAATTGTTGCATTATAAAGTTAGAACTGTTAACTGAGACTGTTACTAGAGCTCCCCTCTCAATACACACTACACAGCCTGCCCCACCCCTGCTTATCAGAGCAAAAAGCAAGTGCCTATTGAAGAGTTACAGCAGTCATTTCAGCTATTAAGATCATATGCAAAATGAAACCCAGCACTAGATCTTTTTTAAAAGGTAAAACAACATGTCCACTTTCTTTCACTCTTTCCAACAGGGGAGCTGCAGCCCCCACAGCCCCCCTCCTTCCCACACCAATGCAGCTTATCATAGAGAGCAGGAGGAGACAGAGCAGAGGTCTAACCAAGTAACCGCCGGTCTGTGCTGCTGCAACTTAAAGAATGTGGAGAAAGTTCATTACTTTGTTATAATTACTATAATTGTGTTGACAGTAGTTCAGCTTATAGTCCAGGGAGTTTACTGCCTCATATTAGTGCTATGTTACATGCAGACCAGCTGTGTATTGAGGGAGGTTGTCACTAAAGGCACATTTGGGCCCTGGGTCTCTCATTATCTGAATACTGACTATAGCTGAGAGATTTGGTGGCTGTTTAAGTGAAGGTTTCTCTCTCTGTCAGCTCCAGCGAGGATCTCATGGTTCAGGATATATGAGCCTAGCACCTGCAGTAATGCCGGCCTAACTAAAAAACGCAGTGTACTATTCAGACTCATTTCATGTAGCGGCAGCCAGCCTGCAAAGCGGCTCCCTGTGCCGAGCTTCTGGAAGAGCCAGTGATGACCATACATGTCCAGTGGGGAGGAAAGGGGAGGCTGCAGGAGCACCGCTGCTGCCCATCTGGACTTCCCCTTAAAAGAGAGAAGCCTTAGCTCACTCCACCCCCACACACGCTCAGGACGGGCAGGGTATTTTTAGCTGTCATCCGCTCACTCCCAGCCCTGCTGCTTGGGATAGACCTACATGGAAATCCTAGGAACTTCATCAGTAAAAGGACAGTACCGAAGTGTTTTCCCATTAGTGAAGATGAAGATGTTGTTGTGTGTTGGTCTGTCTTAAATCACAAAGTCAGACTGCACTTGTCCACTGCCTTACCAATTAGCCAGTCTTTTTCAAGCTGTCAAGTTTCCTGTTTTGTTTGTGTGTTGGGAGCAGGCTATCCATCTGACAAGGACGTGGCATCTGTACCATCATCCACAGGTCTCTGAAGGGAGGTTTAGAAGCATGGATTTGGGAATACCACAATTTGAGAAATTAAATAAAACGTGATTCAGGTGTTGTATCTGATTAACATTAGCCTGAGCTAAAGTACGACAAACAAACCCTCAGTAGCAAGGGAAGATTGTGATTTTGTTGTGAAAATGAGAAACCAAAACTTCTTATTAACATGTGTTATGTCTCCAAAATAGTGTGTAATAAGCACTTTTCAGAGAAGTTAAAGCTTATTTCTTGTCTCTTCTAGTTCTCTATAGTGTGATGGCAGGTTTGCTGTGTTTGCCACATAATTTTTTTTTAGACCACTCTCTCAAATTAATTTAAGCCAATGTATAAAGTCTGCAGCTTTAGACTACTACAGTAGATTGAGTAGTTGTAACAAGTTATACTCGGGTGCTGTGCAGGATTTTAAAGGGTCCTTGGGGGACAAAACCCGTCAGATTTATGTGTGTCCTGGTTGTCTGGTTGGGTTTCTTGTTAATTGCCTGCTTGTAGCTGGTTTGACAGCAGTGAGTTCAACTACACTTTATTTCAGGTGTTGGGTTCATATTTAGAAAAAAACTTTTTCATAGCAGCCATTTTGACATGAAATAGTTTTCTAAGCACAGGTGTTTCCAATGATACTAATTAAGGTTCTGTTCCATTTAATGAGGCAGAGCCTTTTCAGTGATCCAACATTCACATCCAGGGGTGTATTAAGAAGAACTGGATACAGTGTTGGGGTGCTGCTATGTGGTGCATGAAGTCAAAAAAGTTGGACAAATTACCTGAATCTTGATGAGCTGTTTGCTCTCCGACAGCCTCCTCATCATCAGTGTCAAAAGTCGACAATCATCATGGGTAAATGGTAAATGGACTGTACTTATATTGCACCTTTCTAGTCTTTCGACCACTACACTACATTCACTGATGGCAGTGGCTGCCATGCAAGGCCAACTGCTTACCAGAACGGAAACTAATCATTTTCTAATCATAAACTAATCGTATGTGACCACAGTCTTACACTGATGCACAGCATCGGGAGCAATTTGGGGTTTAGTGTCTTGCTTAAGCGAAAGGAGCCGGGGTTCGAACCGCCAACCTTCCGAATAGTGGACAACCCGCTCTACCTCTCAGCAACAGCCTGTACTCAATGATGGCTTAACACAGATCTGATGGAACCTTCCTCACCTTAAAGGTCCAGTGTGTAACATTGAGGAGGATCTATTGGCAGAAATGGAATATATTGTTTATAGGTATGTTTTCATTACCCTACAATAGTACAAAGTCCTGCACACTGGTCCTTTTAAATACATGAACCAAAGAAAAAATTCTTATTTCCATCCTGTTGTCTGCAGTGTTGTTCACTGTTTGGGCTCCCACTGGCCCTCTTTTAACCCTCTCTTCTGGTTTTCTGACAGGAGAATTGGCGCCACATACTGCTTATCTTGATGAACCGACTAATAATTGCATAACGGTAGTGGATGAAAACATGCATTAATTTGCATTTTCTTTCGCCAAATTACTCAAAATGTGGATAGAAACACGGCTATTCTCACAAGGTCTCGTACAAGGCCTTGTACTCCTTACTGGATCTCTCAAGTAGAGTGTGTGCAGTAGGATCTACAGTCTCATTAGAAAGTGCTAAATCTGACTCTCAGAAACAGCTTATCTAAACTCCATTTGAAAATCTTACACCGAGCACAAAATGTCAGACTGGTTTAGTCTTGCAGTTTTGTTCATTGTCTGTCCATTAGCCGAATACCCAGGCATGCATTAAAGTAAATCATGTGTTGTGAAATCACCTAATTCTTGCCAATTAACCGGCAGTGACCGCCTTCAGAGGTTTTTAGAGCAGTTTAATTGGCCACTGATCCAAACAAAGTTGAACATCTTCTCTCCAGCCCTCTGTGACACAGCTACATAATGACAGCTTCATTAGCTCTCATGGTTGTGACTCATAGTGAATATGCACATCACCCACTGGAAAGCAGCACTTTGATCGCCCTTACTGCTCATTGTTTAACCTTTTAAATCATTGACTCAAATCCTTGTGACTTTCTGTGATTGGCCCTAACAAACATATTTGATAACAGAATTGAATAAATTAATATAAATACTCTATCTCACTATATTTATTTCATGAAAGCAACATGTATTGTGTAAGTTGTCCTGTTTCACTATTTTTTAAAGTGTGGTTGTATAAGGTACTTATCCATAGTCAGTGTATTACTACAGTAGACGGCAGTCGGCACACCTCCAGTCTGGAGAGAGGAACTGAACCAACAACCTCACAACCACAAGCTTGCTCTGTAACCTTTATGTCACCACTGCTTACAAGTGGCTGGTACAACCCTGCCTTGTTCAGTTAGTTTTAGGGATGCACCGATATGAAAATTTTGCCCGATTACCCGATATCGCATAAATAAATTTTGCTGTTATGGCCGATAACCGATATTTACCGATATCGATATATGTTTTTTTTTTTAAAGTTTTCTGAGATGATAAAATTTTGTACAGACTGAAAATCATGCAAACTGAGTTTTTGAATGTCTTCCTTTATTTCAGAACGTATTTTACTTCCAAATAAAAAAAAAGGTTACAGGGCCTACCATAAAACATAAGTAACACAACCTTTACCACTTATCAAACATGCCAGTATTCATGGCAACATGTTTTCAGCTCTGTGCACTCCAATTAAACTCAAATCTGTGAAAAAGGCTAAATCAAAATATTCCAAAAACATGTCCTGACTGTTATTGCACACTTTTCACCTTGCACTGTCCATTTGCAATCATCATTCATTTTATTATCTTTTCCATTACCTTGTTGGTTATTGACCTGCGCTTTTGCCTGTCCTTGGC